TGGGGAGCAGAACAGGCAGATTGACGAAGTACACTGCTGAGGGGAGCAGCGGGCGGGTCAGGAGAGGTCTGCCACGCCATGTGGTCTCTTCCGGAGCAGGCGGGAATCGAACTCATGCGGAAGTGGCTTTAGCTTCTCAGTGCTGTGCTTTAACCCGCTGCGCCACCAAGGAGGGACTCTATGTCTCTTTTATAAATTCACATCCAGCTACTCATCCAGAATCTTTACTTGAATGTTCATAATCTCAAACAGAATATTTTCAAAAAGCAAACTCCTACCTGGAAACCTCCTGCTCCCAGTCTCTTCCATCTCATTATTTACCAACTCTAAAAGTTGTCTAAGCCAATCTCTTCATTCTCGACCTCAATCACACACAACTGCTTGGTGTTTCTCAAATCAACCAAAGAGCATTCTCACCTCAAAGCCTTTGTTCCAACTGACTCCTCTATCCCAGGATGCCCTTTCCCGAGAACTCATTCCCCCCCACCCCCAACTAGATTGTAAGCTTCACAAAGTTAAAGGTTTTGGTTTCTGAATATTCACTCAGATGTTTGTTGAATGAATGAGTAAACCACAAGAAGTTCTGTTCTCTCAAAATTATTAGGAATCAGTATTAATATGTAAGAGATAGTAATTTATAATGGGGTGACGTTACTTTCTAATATGAAAAAGACTGCTAAATAACTAGTAATACAAATAAAACTTTAAGAAAAATGTTTTTGAATATTGTCTATTTCAGACCTTTGGCCACCAATAATGCCAAATTTTAAATTTGTAATAACATCATCTTGCTTACTAGCCACTGGAGATTGACTTTGATCACAAGTGTCAGCCACCAAAATTTCCTTTTCATTTGGGTTATGTTGTTGAGTTGAAGACTTTGGAACTTTTTTCAATTCTAAAGGAAAACAGGAAAGATTATGTATAAATAAACAAGATGAAAAAGATTACAAAAATATTACTTTGATAAGCCAATATAAGTTTGTCTTATTGATATAATTCTCATATTCTAATAAGATTTGTTTCCTTAATTTCACTAAGATACAAAGTGAGTATCAGGACATAGAAATGACTAGAACAATTCCCTTGAGTCTTCTAAAGTCTTAGTCTCTGAGGTCTCCCAGCGTCATAATATTTTAATATTTCCTTTCCTTGTATATTTGTTGCAAATCTGTAGGCTAATTTAAAATGAATACTGTATCATATACCTCCACAATCTTTTTGTTTAAGGATTTAACTAAAAGAAAACTAAAAGAAGGACAAAGTACTCTGTGAAAGAATTAAAATAATTTTAAAAGCCAAATGAAAATATTAAAAGCCATGGTGTTTTAAAAGAAATAAGCAAGGGTAGATAGAGAAAAGACTAATCAATCATTACATTGTTCTTAAAATAATTTGCATGACTCAAAGTTAAATTTTAAAATTAAAACTTCAGATTTAAGAAAAATGATTGCAATAAGATTAAAATAGACTTATGTAATTTCATACAATGAAGAAATAAAGCATTTGTACTAGATACAAAAGAAGACTTTCCTAATGAAGAAAATAGCTATGATTTGTTTCATGGATATTTTTTACAATGGATTCAAAAATGATATAAATTATGTAGATGCTTATATATAAGGATTCATATTCTTTCTGAGAACAGACCAAAAGGCGAATAAATGTACACTCAATTCATGATCTTACATTTTAGTTTAATTATATTATTTTTAACAGTTCTTTTGTTTTCCACTAGAGGGTGATGCAACCTTATCTAAAATGGAGAAATATTAAGCCAGTTTTCCAATATCAAAGACTACAATTTATTTACTTTTTAAAGGCATACCTAGTGTCAACAATTTATTTGCACTATAAAAATACTTCCAGGTCTATGTGCACCGCCTCCATCCAAATACTTTCCTTATACATAGCGTAGGTCAAAAATTTCAGACTTTATTATTTAATTTTATTAATATTAAAAGAAATAAGCACTGTTCTGTGTCAGTGCTCCATAAAAAGGGAGTTTCAGGGCTTCATAAAAAGGGAGTTTCAAAGCATTTAGCAGAGATGGAAATCTGGGCTAGAATTAGAATTACTGTCACTTACATGACAGTAAGTGACAAAGTAGACATATTATAAAATTATCTCTTGATTACAACCAGTTGTTACAAATTATAACAAAAATAGCCAATAAAGTCAGGTCCAAAGTATAAGTAGAAATGGGCAAGACCTAGGAAATGGAAAAATTTAGAGCCATGAAGATCTATATTGAATTCTGACTCACTTGCTTACTTAACAGATTACCCTGAGTGAGTGATTCTCCAGCTATAAAATAAAGGTGCTAATAGTTATTTCACACACCTCCTGAGAATTAATGGAGATTAATAATGCATTCAAGTCACTCAGTCTTAGTTGGCACAAGTAGCAGATGGGAACTAATGCTAAGTTCTTTTTTCTTTCTTTTTCTTCCATTCAGAAAGAGAAAAATGAGAATATTTTTTCCATAAAAAGAAAGCATTTACTACAGTTGTAAAATGCTAAGCATTTACACAGTATGTAAGCAGTGTATGTCTATACATAATATAGGCAGAAAATGTCTCATTTTACTAAAGGAATCAAACTTTAGAGGTGTGACACAACTAGCCTGAACGACTATCTTCCTTCCACTAGATTGACTAACAAAAAAACCTTACAATTGATGAAAACTTTTTACACTAAATAACTAAAATACAAAACCCCCAATCCTTACCATTTGCACACACAGTGCGCTCCAGCTTAGTATGTGTTTGTTCTACATATGGAACATGGAGATTCTCTTTTCTTCGTAGCCGGTTAGTACCAGAAAATGAGAAGGCTGTTATTGGTGAACCTGAAATAACATTTTCCTCTGAGTCAAGCTCAGTTGCTTGATGCTGTAGACCATTCCTAGGGAAAAAAAAAAAAAAAAAGACAGTTGAAAGAATGTTAACTCAGCAAATTTGCTTATGTATTTATTTGAACATTTACTATATGAGGAACTATAACAGAACATAGGGAGGTAACTAAGAAAATTTTGCATCTAATGCTACAAATCTAAACATAAGGATCAGAGAAATACTCAATTGATTATACAGAGTATCAACATGGAATATTTTTGTGGGAAGCGAAGTACAAAAGGTAATTGGTGACACTTGAAAAGGTAGTTGGTGACACTTGAATTAAAACAATTTCAAATGGCAAAGAAAATCAGCAGAGGACCCAGTCTGAGTAAAGGCCATATGCTGTGTGCTTGTGTTGGAGAAAGGCAATGAAAACTGCATGAAGGATGGTGCTGATTAAGTGTGCATATAACTGAAAATGCAGGAAGAAATGAGTAAATAGGTTTTGGAGCACTTAGAGCATGAAAGTAATGTGAACATCTAGCATCAGTGTATCTTACATTATACTCTACTTGAGTTATACTCACCGCTTTGAGTTTTCTCAAAAACATTGGGCAACTTCTACTATTTTTCTTAGGCTGTCCATCTGATTATAACACTCATCTCTACAGAACATGTCACATTCTTTTGAGTCTGTGCTAGAGCTTCACTTTCTTACCAAGGTCTGTCTTGAGAACACTATTGAAGAATGCAACTCGGGGCCTCACTGGTGGTGCAGGGGTTAAAGTCTCAGCAATGTCAAGCTATCACTAGTCACTGATGTGTGAGTTCTATCCCTGGCCAGAGAGCTGACCCACCTGGCACAGCAGACCTCTTCTGTCTCACCTGCTGTTCCTCTTAGCTGTGTATTTCACTAGGTTTATAACCTGTTTATTCTGCTCCCTACTCTGTCTCTGATAAATCTTCTCACTGCTGTACCTCTGGCCTATACCCCAGTTTCTGGTATACATAACAACAACAACAACAAAAAAACAACTTGCAACCTGTTTTCAACATCCTAGTACTCCTGTCCTGTGTTGGTCTGATCTATGAACTTTATCAATGGCATAATCTATCTATTGATCACTTATTAGAATGCAAACTCTAAGAGGATAAAAATCTTTGGTTCATTGATATATCACAAGAGTCAGTACAATGTAGGTACTCAAAGAACTTCTGCTGAATGAATACGAGATTCCCAGATTCCACTAGAAAAAAAAACAACTTGTAAGATCTAGGTACATGTTCTTGCCTAGCACAATTAAGGACCAGTGACACCTAAAGATTTGTTTTAGATTAAAATGTGGTTATTGAGTAAAACAAAGTTGACTAACTTTAGCTTGATTAACTTTCCCATATCAAACCACAAGTGATGTTATCTGTGAACCAATTCTTATCAATCTGTCAGGCATTTAGGCTTTATGTGACAGTCTATCAACTTGTAATACTACTTTTAAACAAACAACATAAAATATTCTAAATTATAACCAGCAGAGATTTTAACAAAAAGAGGGCAAAGATTAATTTTTCCTAACATAGATTTATATCTTAACTTCCTGACTCATCTCAATAATACTGTGGTCTATAATCCTGTATTCTAAACTAAGGAAAATTTTTAGAGCTAGTATCTAAATTTTAATCTCTACTGTCTTATTCTGGAAAAACAGAGTATGTTAAAGTCATGTGAGAAAAGCTTATAAATTAATGAAGTGTGAAATCTACCTGACCTTGCTTTAACTAATCACGTCACAGTCTATCTGCCTATTAGTCATAAAAATTCAACCTGCAACATGAATGAGTCACTAGAAAAAATTGATTTCCTGGCAAAGTCAATGTAGAAGTAGCTTGGAACACAAAAGTGTGAAAAACAACAAACCAAACAAGCCATTAGCTCTAATGTACAGTGGTCAAACTAGGTAAATAAGTGCCGACTTTATCCTCCTTTGTCATAGGAAAATGGAACAAAGCAAAACACCCAAGACTTTAACAAGTTTTTTTCTTTTTTTAAAGAAATCACCATCTCTGCTTTTCAGAGCAAGGTTAAGTTCACACCAGTATTTAATTAAATCAATTACACACAGCGGTCCTTTCATTTCTCCTTTTAATGGCCTTAAAAGTAAATATTTTTGGTTGTCTGCTTTACTCATCAGCCTTCCCTCAGATCCTGTGAAAACAGTTTCAGTTGTTTCCTCTCCTAACCCTCCAAAGACCTATAAGGATTCAGGTTCACCCTTCATAAAGATTCTAAAATCATTTTTAACATTTAGCGTTTCCCCCCCTCTTTTCTATAAAACTTAGCACTTCCAGTAAACTATAAATTAAAGAAGGAGTTACAACCATAAGTTTCACTTCAACATAATGTTCAAAAGGTGGAGGAAGAGGAATCCCTAAAATACAAAGTAGTAAATTAGAACACTGATCTCTTTGAAAGTCATAAAAGCTTATTAATAAAGTAATTAGAATAAGACAAATTAAGAAAAAAAACTGCCATGAAATAGCTGTTCTGAGAAATGTATTATTATACATCTCTCAGGAAAACACCTGATAATGAATCTCAGTGATTTTCTTTATTCTTTGTACTGCAAAACCCTTCATAATTTTTACTTAATTTTTTAAAAATGGAGGTAAAGCTGAGCCTCCCTGGTCTACATCCCAGTTCTTGTATGCATACATTAAAAATAAAAAATCTTTTTTTAAAAAAATGCAGGCAGGCCCTCCCTGGTGGCGCAGCGGGTTAAAGCACAGAATTAAGAAGCTTAAGCCACTTCCGCATGAGTTCAATCCCCGCCTGCCCCGGAGGTGACCACATGGCGTGGCAGACCTCTCCTGACCCGCCCGCTGCTCCCCTCAGCAGTGTACTTCGTCTATCTGCCTGTTCTGCTCCCCACTCTGTCTCTGGTGAACCCTCTCACCCTCCACATCTCTGGCCTGTACCCCAGTTCTGTATGAATAAATAAATAAATCTCTAAAAAAAAAAAATGCAGGCAAGCTGGCTTACAATGCTGTATATCATTTAGAGGTATAGGCTCACATATCAGGGTGTATGATGACACTCCACATCCCCTACCAAGGCAGCCAACATCCCCAGCCCAAGTCTACTGGGCCCTATCCTATTTTATTCCCCTACCTGCTCCTTTCCCTCTGTTAGCCTCAATTAATTCTACAGTCAGATTTCTAGGGCTTGGTTTTATCTGTCCCCTCATTTTGTTTCTTTACATGCCATATAATGGAAAACTGAAATCAACAATTCTAAATATATCTATCGTGAACATAACTGTCCAATGAAGAAACAAGTTAGGAGAAAACATTCAATTTCTGCTTCAGTTTAGGAAAAAAATACTTACTCAATTTTCTGCTGCAGCTGTTCAGAAAGCTTTTTATTTTCTTCTTGTAGAGTATTCTTTTCATTCACTTAAATATAATTGTGAAAAAGGTACATATTATATTAATGAGTACATCAGCTTTTCCAATAGTTTAACAACTATGAAACATCAGATATTCTAAGTCATATTGTTACTCAAGTTAATGTTACTATGCAAAAATGATTTCGCACTAGGTCATGATTACTACATCTCATGTTGTGCCAGTTCTATTTAACTGATTAACTAATGATTTTATGTAATGCTTGTGGGCAAAAAAGAAAGCAAGCCTCATGTATTGGACAGTCTAGTCAACCTATTCATACTGATGATAAGAAAGCATTTCAGGGCCTCTATGGTGGTGCAGGGATTAAAGTCTCAAGTGCTATGATGCTATCGCAGGGCAAAAGTTTGATCCCAGGGTCAGAGAGCTGACTCACACAGCAGACCTCTCCTGTCTCACCCACTGCTCCCCTCAACAGTGTATTTCGTAAGTTTGTCTGTTTTGCTCCCTACTCCGTCTCTGGTGAATCCTCTCATTATCCACAGTCTGGCCCACACCTCAGTTCTTATATGCATAAATAAATACAGATAAATTTTAAGGATAGCCATTCTTATTTGAGAAGTAGAAACCCAATTCTGGGCTCTCATTCTACTGTAGCCAGTCAAAATTCTTATTAATATCTAGTATAAGTGGTTATGTCTATGTTTTACTAAGACTGTATCTAAGAGATCAAGTCACAGTAAGTACAATTAACCTTTACCAAAGAAAAATTCACCGTATCCCAAAAAAAAACTTGTTAATCATTTAGTACTTTATACACATAGGCATATTTTTTTTTAATTGAGTAAGTGTGTATAAGATGTGAGGTCACTACACTGCCTGTGGAGGTGGTAAAAGATACTTAAGAATATAAGCATTGATATCTTTCTAGAGGAGCTATATTCCAAGGCAACTAATAGTCCCAATTGGCGAAAGAGAATTACTGCTAGTTATAGCTCAGTCCCAATTGATGAAAGATAATGTCAGTTGACAAATGTAGAAAGAACAGCAGAAATGGAAAATTATTATTTCATAATCTAAATTAATTGATTCAGGTAAGGATCATACCAATGCATGCTAAAACCATTTTTAAAAGTCAAGGGAGAGGCCCTCCCTTGTGGTGCAGCAGGTTAAAAGCACAGCACTAAGAAGCTTACGCCACTTCCACATGAATTTGATTCCCGCCTGCCTTGGAGGAGATCCACATGGTGAGGAAGACCTCTCCTGACCCGCCCGCTGCTCCCCTCAGCAGTGTACTTCATCTATCTGCCTGTTCTGCTCCCCACTCTGTCTCCGGTGAATCCTCTCACCCTTTGCATATCTGGCCTGTACACCAGTTCTATACGAATAAATAAATAAATCTTTAAAAAAAAATCAAGGGAGAATTTCAGTTTTTAAGATTTCATAGTGTCATATACACCCTCCCCAAAGTCCATCACCCCTGTAGACTACTTAATGGTGCATGGGGAAAATATGACTCCATCATGGAGAAGAAATCTGACCATCACTCTAGCCAAGTGAGGAAACCAACGATCTGTAAAAGTGAAAAAACCAGACAGAATCTATCTCCTGATATAGTGAAGTAAAAAGTTTGACAAAATATTGTTGCTGTTCTAATGTTTAGTTTGGACCTAATCAAGTCTAATACAATCCCTATTTAATAGGAAAAAAATGAACAAGATAATGAAAATGATGAGAAAAATCGAGAAAGTGACAAAATTTTAAGAAAATAACCATATTTCTTCAACAAGTCGACGTCATGGGGATAAAAATAAGAAAAGGAGCTATGATTAAAAGACAAAAGTATGTGTTCTCTGATTGGAAAAGACCTTCAAAGGGACAACTGTAGAATATGAATATGGACTACTCACTATAGAATATTTACAAATTATAGTTGAATTTTTGTATATAAGAAATAGGTATTTTGATTAAACAGAAGCTATCCAAGCTTTCAGGGAGGAAGATTTTATGTATATAATTCTATTAAAATTTTAGTTTGAGGGCCATCCCTGATGGTGCAGCGGGTTAAAGCACAGCACTGAGAAGCTAAAGCCACTTCAGCATGAGTTCGAACCCCACCTGTCCCAGAGGTGATCCACATGGTGTGGCAGACATCTGCTGGCCTGCCCGATGCTCCCCTCAGCAGTGTACTCTGTTGATTTGCCTGTTCTGCTCCCCACTCTGTCTCTGGTGAATTCTCTAACTGCCCCTGCACCTCTGGCCTGTATCCCAGTTCTGTATGCATAAATAAATCTTAAAAAAATTTTTTTTTAGCTTGAAAAAGTGTGAAGAAAATTAGCAAAATATAAGCAATTGTTCTATCTATGGTTTACAAAAATTAAAGATACTTTGTATGGGGCCCTCCCTGGTGGCGCAGTGGGTTAAAGCACAGCACAAAGAAGCTTAAGCCACTTTCGCATGAGTTCAATTCCCCAAGCCACTTCCGCATGAGTTCGATTCCCCGCCTGCCCCGGAGGAGATCCACATGGCGAGGCAGACCTCTCCTGACCCACCCGCTGCTCCCCTCAGCAGTGTACTTCATCTATCTGCCTGTTCTCCCCGCTCTATTTCTGGTGAATCCTCTCACCCTCCACATCTCTGGCCTGTACCCCAGTTCTGTATGCAAAAATAAATAAATCTTTAAAAAAAAAACTAAAAATTTTTAGCAATAAAAAACTTAGTTATGAAAATAAAATAACTCAGAATATTAGAACTGCTGAAGTAATTAGTTTCTCTCTGAAAAAGAGATCTGAAGACATTCTGAGAATACAGCAGAGAGAAATAAGGGGATTAAAAATAGGAAAAAGTCTTCAGAGAGGATAGAATGATGAAGTCTCAGAATACGCAGAAAATAGAGATGACACAGTATTTGTAGAGCTAGTAGCTGACAGTTTTTCATATAGGATTAAAGACATGATTCTATAAGTTTTAAAATGTATACAAAGCAGAATTTAAAAAAAAAACAAAAAAAACCCCGGTGAAAGTTGTGCTAAAACTACAGAACATCAAGAATTAAGAAAAAAATTCTCAATATTAGTAAAAAAAAAAAAAAATACTATTATACTATTATGTAAAATAGCCTTAAAAAATAAAGGCGAAATAATATTTTTGGATGAAAACTAGTTTAGGACCAATAAATGCCCTCCAAAGGAACTTAAAATGATCCACTTTAGAAAGGATAATAATTCCAAAAGAAAAGTGAGATATAAAAAAAAAGTAATCCAAAAAAAAATAACAACTCTGTAGGTGAATTTTTTAAAGTTCTCTGAATAAGACTAATTTTTAAAAAACATTTCTGGCCCTCCCTGGTGGCGCAGCGGGTTAAAGCACAGCACTGAGAATCTAAAGCCGCTTCCGCATGAGTTCAATTCCCGCCTGCCCAAGAGGTGACCACATGGCGCGGCAGACCTCTCCTGACCTGCCCGCTGCTGCCCTCAGCAGTGTACTTCGTCCATCTGCCTGTTCTGCTCCCCACTCTGTCTCTGGTGAAGCCTCTCGCCGCCCCTGAGCTTCTGGCCTGTACCCCAGTTCTGTATGCACAAATAAATAAATCTTTAAAAAAAAAAAATTTCTAATTTGCAAGGTTAACAAAACAAACAAAAAAATTAAATACTGGGCATAAACAGTGTGTTAGTAAAAAAGAAGTGATCAGAGTTACTTCAGTGTTTTAAATTCCTTGATTATTCAGAAGAGGGGTAAGAAATTAACTTGATAGTTTAAGAATGTGCAGTAATTTCAAGGTCATGAAGACAGCATATAGATAGTTATAAAATGGAAGGTTAAGAGAAGTGTTAGAAGAGAAAAAAATTTAAGAGAAGGTAGCTAAGAAGATGGGTAAGAAGACTAAACTATAACACTACACTCATATAACAGGATATCATGAAAATTTAAAAAGTTATACACTGGTAGAACACTAAAATGTCTTCTTTGTAGTTAAGTTTTTAAAAAAGTTAAATTACACGAAATAATGACAAAACAAAAAGGCAAATGTGTGCAAGTTTGCTTCTTGCCTTACGGTAATACATTAAGGCTGATTTGGACAATATTTGAGCAAACATTTTGTACCCTATTTCTTACTAAAATAAGCCTGAGATATAATCTATAAAAGAGGAAAAAGACACTTGAATTTATACATAAGGAAAAATATATGTAAACAATTCCTTTGATTATAACCTATTTACTAAGAGGTTTCAACAACTGTACATTATGCTTTAAAGATTTAGTAAATGAAGAGCGGAAACTCACTAAGCTCTGTGATAAGTTTAAGGTTTTGCTGCCGGATATTTTCAAATTCTTGCTGTTTTTTCCTCATGTGTTCTTCAGTTACTGCACAGCGATCACATAAGCCAGCTCTCAATCTATGAAACAGAAACAGAAGTTTTTAACATGAAACTTAAATGTTCTCATCAGTCAGTCAGTCAATCAATCAATCAATCAATCAATCAATCAATCAATCAATCAATCAATCAAGACTAACTGGACCCAAGATGGTGTCAGAGGATCATCTAGGTTAACCTGTGTACCCAAAGGTCACTATGGCATAGAGTGAAACTGGAGTGCTTCTTCAAACCAGGCAGAATGCACCAGAAGAGACAAGGAGGAGATATAGGCCTCACGCAACAAAGGGTGGGTGCAAAGAGATGACTAGAGCTGAGGTGAAGCCCACGAGGCAGCAGTACACACACAGCTATGTCACTTGGCCACCTGGCCCGTGGCTCTAGGGAAGAACAACCCATGTTTTGGGGAAATATGTAGAGAAGAGTTGGGGTATTCCCAGTGGAGAAATAAAGAGGATCATAAGAGATTATTATGATCATCCATATGGCAGTAAAATGTATCATCTAGATGAAATGGATAAACTCTTAGAAGTAAACAGTCTTTTGAGACTAGGTCAGGAAGAAACAGAAAACCCTGAACAAACCAAGCACGAGTAAGGAAATTCAAACAATAACCCAAAGCTTCTCAAAAATGCCATTCAGGTCCAGACAGCCTCACTATTTGAAGTCCTAGCTAGAGCAATTAGGCAAGAGAAAGGTATATAAAGGACTCCAAATTGGAAATAAGAAGTAAAACAGCACTATTTACAGAAGACATAGCATACAAAAAACCTTATAAAGATTCCAGTAGAAAATTATCACAAACAGTAAAGTCCAGGTTACAAAATCAATTTACAAAAATCAATTGTGTTTATATGCAAACAACACACCAGAAGACAGAAAAAAAATTAATTTCATTCAAGAAATCAAACTTGATCTATTAAAAAGTCATTAGGGCACAGACAATAATCCACTGGAACACACAGTTGTTAAGTTTTAAAAATGACACTAATGAGGGGAGTTACAAAGTGATACATTATTTTCTAGCTTCCTATTCCCAGCTTTTTCCAGTCACCTGTCCAGTTAGCTCTTGATTGCTTGCTGACCCTCGTTTAAATTCCAATGGATGTGAGAAAATATGCTAACTCCAGTTTCATTTACTGACAGTCCATTGCTTCACTTTTGCCTCTTTCACTGCTGCTACCAGAGACAGAAGGAGCAACTGCAAATTCACAGGAGAATACAATTTCAGAAGTTATAAACAGATGAAAGCAAAAGTAGAGTAAATCCACTTAAAAGAGCAGTGGAGAACATGCATTCTGCATTTTAATCTAGTTTGTACACAGAGATAATAAAGTAGAGACCTCCCCAGTGGTGAAAGGGCTTAAGTCTCAGCACTGTGAAGCTTTCGACAGCCACTCCAGCATGAGTTCAATCTCCAGTCAGGGAGCTGACCCCCATGGTGCAGCAGACCTCTTCTGTCTCATCCACTGCTCCCCTCAGCAGTCTGTATCAGTCAATCCATCTGTTCTGCTCCCTTCTCTGACTCTGGTGAATCCTCTCACTACCTCCCCCCACCCAACAAACCTTTGGCCTATCCTAGCTCTTGTAAGCAAAAATAAATCTTAAAAGCTCTCAACCAGATAAATTTCAATTAAATTTACCAGATTAGCAAGTATGCTCAAATTGTTTGCTATACTCCTCAAAATTCTCTTAAATTTATTCATTCTCACTCAAAAGAGTTTCACTGAGCACCTATAAAACACACAGTGCTGGCTCTCCCTGGTGGTGCAGCAGGTTAAAGCACAGCACTAAGAAGCTAACACCACTTCAGCATGAGTTTGATCCCCACCAGCGCCAGAGGTGATCCACATAGTGCAGCAGACATCTCCTGACCTGCCCATTGCTCCCCTCAGCAGTGTACACATTCAGTTTGCCTGTTCTGCTACCACTCTGGTGAATCCTTCACTGCCCCTGCACCTCTGGCTTGTACCCCATCTCTGTATGTATAAATAATCTTAAAAAACAAAACAAAACAAAACACAGTTTAAATACAAAAGTGGCCAAGATAATGTCACTTCTTTTTATTCAAGGAGTTCAGAGTCTACCAGAGAAAGACAGACAATAAGAATATAATTTTAACCACACATGAGTCATCCTGACAGTAGAAATACAGGACATAAAAGCACCCAACAGAATGTCAACTAGTCTAGGAAGAGAGGAGGTTTCTGGAGGAATATGTTGAATTCAAATTTATGAGTATGAGGGGTTAGCAAGGCAAGAGAGGATATTTGGCCCATTACTTGAAAAATAGTTGCAGAACTATTAATCCTCTGATTTTGAGTACCTTTTAAAGTTCTTTTTTTTAATAACAGCTGAAATATGATCTTAATATGACTGCCAAAAATGCTTTTAAAAATATTAAGATCTATTAGGCAAATATGAAGGGCTTTGTTAAATTTTTTTTTTTTTTTTAAAATGCATTCAAGGTACTTCTTTAGCACAGAGACTATTTCTTATATTTAGTGAAATATACTGGTTTCTTGAGGAAAGTCTATAAATGTAATGATAGGGGGCCCTCTCTGATGGCTCAAGGGTGAAAACACAGTACTATGAAGCTGTCTATCCACAGCTACTGCAGCACAAGCTTGATCCCCTGCTAGGGGATGACCCACATGGCACGGCAAACCTTTTCCTGTCTGACCCACTGTTTCCATCATCAGCCTATTTCAGTGGATATGCCTGTTCTGTTCCCCACTCTGTCTCTGGGGAATCCTCTCACCCCCGCACCTCTGACCTACAACCCTAGTTCTTGTATGCATAAATAAGGAAATCCTTTTTTTAAAAAATGTAACAATAGTAACAGTAAAATATAAACAGGCCACAAAAAATTAAAACTTGTTATTATCTAATTATCTAGGTAATTAATTTTCATGTAAACATCCCACAAAATTTTCACAATCATTAAGAAGAATTAATTCATCTTACAAAAAGTAGCAAGTTTCACAATGACTTTTGAAGAATTTTAACAAAATTCAATTTGGCTTATTATTTTCCATGTTGATTTTAAAGGGTCTCAACAAAACATTAATTTTTATTCATTTTTAATGCTTGCTCTAGAATCATTCTTACATGGGATAAAACAAAATTTTACACAGGGTAGAATTTAACAAGCTCTGCCTATGAAGATTTTAAAAGGTAATATTTAAATTTTAGTTTATTTTTTGTGTAGAAGAACTGGGGTGTAGACCAGAGATGTGGGAGTGAGAGGATTCACCAAAAACAGAGTGGGGAGTAGAACAGGCAGATTTACTGAAATACACTGTTGAGGGGAGCAGTGGGTAAAACAGAAGAGGCTTGTGCCATCGGTGGGTTAGCTCCCTGGGGATTCAACTCCAGGCCTTACAAATGATAGCAGAGACTTAATTCCTAAACCACCAGGGAGGCCCTGATAAGGCAGTATTTAGTTAGTGGCAAGTTTAAAGAAAAAATCTTGCAGAAAACAAGCTAGATAGCAGACAGTGTGGAAGACAATATCCCAGAGTATCTATTTTTGTAACTTTAAGTCAAGCACAATACTTTGAAATGATCAATGAAGGTGTAATTCATTTACCTACATTTACAAAATTGAGACGACATACAGGAAACATATCAGGAAACAGCAAAAACTAATTAAAATTTAATATAGTTATCCATTATATTTGACCTTGGGAAGGTTTATTAACTTGCCAGCTCAGTTTTTTCAGATGTAAAATGGGTTTACCATCAACCATGTAGGTTAACTGGAAAATAAAAGTGCTTGATCGTGGGTACAAAGTGAACCCTCAATAGGTTTCAGTTCCTTTATAGAAAATATACTGTTAGCTATAATATTGTTATTCTTGATTTAATTAAGTGAGGATAACTTTTAGAATATGCCCATAAAGAAATAACAGACTTATATATGAAAGAGAGGAAAAAGTATGTATATGAAGAAATGAGCTACACTCTTTGTTCCTCCCCAACTCTCTACCATCAAGTTGACACTATGTAATAAATTATAAGCCTGCCTACTTAAGAATGAAAAGGTGAACAGAACAAAAAGCAAGAGAACATTCAGAATGAGAACAAGCAAAGAAGTTTGGCCTCTCCGTGAAATCAGACACTAGAGATTATAGAGAAAAATTCAATTTTAAGAAAATGCAAATAAAAAAGATAATTTTAACAATGAAGTATATATATATTTTTTAAAGATTTTATTTATTTATTTGTGCATACAGAACTGGGGTACAGGCCAGAGGCTCAGGGGCGGTGAGAGGCCTCACCAGAGACAGAATGGGGAACAGAACAGGCAGATCGACGAAGTACACTGCTGAGGGGAGCAGCGGGTGGGTCAGGAGAGGTCTGCCCACCATGTGGTCACCTCCGGGGCAGGCGGGAATCGAACTCATGCGGAAGCGGCTTTAGATTCTCAGTGCTGTGCTTTAACCCGCTGCGCCACCAGGGAGGGCCAACAATGAAGTATATTAATTGAAGAGGTTAGCAATAAGAAAAGAGTTAATGGAAAGAGTGGACCACTGACATTTCTTCTCAGAAGGGCCAGAAGAATAACTCACTTAAGGACTGGGGTAGTGGTGGTGTCCAGTCACAAGTATTGTAGGCCCAGGTGAGTGCCAACAGGCATTCTTAGCTGAGAACATCACTCTAAGAGGATGTAGTTAGGTTGGACTGACACAACAACAGTCCCTACATTTCCACTTACTTCCCATTTGTCTTCCTTCTCATTACAGAGAACCATGGAGAAATTTCTAATCCTAAAATATTTGAAAACTTATTTTCACCTCAGGCTTTTGCATTTGTCTGTTCTCTTTTGTCATGTTGGCCCAAGTAAGATGGCATCTCCCCAGAAAGGCCAACATCCATTAATACCCCTTCATTCGCTAATGCCTGTGGCCACTCAATTATATCACTCCATTTTATTTTCTTATAATACTTATAATCTCATAGTACTTATAATCTGAAAACATCTTATTTGAGTGGCTTATTCTCAGCCTTTGAAAATTAAGTATCAGCTCCATCACATACTAGATAGGGATAGTATTATCTTTAGCCCCTACAGCAGCACCTAAAATACAATAATGATTCAAAGCTTTATTGCTATATCTGAATTAAGAACACAAGGTGAAAGTTAAAATTCAAATCCACATCTGTGACACCTTACTCTACAACAGGCCGTCTGTAGTCCAGTAAAAGTGAATCCACTGAGATGGTAGTTGTAGAAGAGTATTCAACTTAAGTTTGCATATATATAGGATATATTACCCATGTCCTCTCTAAAATGGGAAAATCACCTCTTATTTGAGAAGACCCAAAAGCCCAACTCACCGATCTTCTAAAACCTTAATGGTTTCATGAAGAACTTTCTGTTGTTCTCTCAGTTGCTGATTTTTGGTGAAGAATTCTTCTAGTCTTTGTGCATCTCTAAAAACCAAGAAATAAGTGTTTTTGGAGTGAAGTACAAATACTAATAAGATAATTCTATTTTAAGAACTTCAAAGCATGGTCTTATCTTACTATGTAGCATGAATACAAAATATACAAAATAAACAACTTAAAAGGTAAGGTTTAATATTTTGTTCAAATAAAACTAGCACTCTGAAATATTTTTATGCACTACAGAAATATTATCCTAAGCACCAGGCAATTCATTTAGCAATACTGAAATCCAGAAGGAGTGGATTCTGTTGCCACTAAAGACTGAATTTTGCTAAGATTGCTATAAGATTGTTTACTTACTGGCTTCTGATGTTTTGTCTATATTTATCAATGCAAATAACATATCTTTGTATCATTTCTATTCCAAAAATAAAGGAATTATGATTTTGGCATGAAAAAAATAAAGGTACCTAAAAATTTCTTTTAGCACATTACCTGATTACTTCCAAGATTGTGCCATATTTTGCCATAATTATCTATTTTTAAATTATATCATATAACATCCATGCATTCTAATTCTAAAATGTACCAGAAATTTAATTGGGATTTTCTGCATAGTCTTGAAGTAAAAAATATAGGATAATATTATGGTTAAAGTGTCTTCCTCCAGAATCTTCAAAGGTCTATCCAATCAAGAGTGACAAACCAGTCTGCTACAATAAGTGGATGTCAAATGATTAAGATGGAAGCAAAATAGATGACTAAAACAACTAAGTCAAATGTCAAATAATATGCAAATACAAGGGACTTGTTAAGTATCAGTTGAATAGTTGATGTTAAGTGAAAAATCAATATATCTATAGTTATGGTGGTATATACAGAAAACCTGAAATTTTAAAAATAATAGTAATAGCTGTTTCTCATTTAAAGATTTTCTAGTATTTCTGGTAAATTTGTTTAATTCGGAAAAGCAACAGGTTTTACTAACCCTATTTGGGACTATTCAACAAATATAAGCATAATAAATAACACAAATTTGGGGGGTACATTTAAAGTTTTCTGAGTTTCGATTTTAGATGCCAATATCTATTTAAATTAACATTTAATATGGCCCTCCCTGGTGGCACAGCGGGTTAAAGCACTGCACTGAGAAGCTAAAGCCATTTCCACATGAGTTCCATTCCCGCCTGCCCCAGAGGAGACCACATGGCGTGGCAGACCTCTCCTGATCCGCCCGCTGCTCCCCTCAGCAGTGTACTTCGTCGATCTGCCTGTTCTGCTCCCCACTCTGTCTCTGGTGAAGTCTCTCACTGCCCCTGAGTCTCTGGCCTGTACCCCAGTTCTGTATGTACAAATAAATAAATCTTTAAAAAAAATATTAAATTAACATTTAATATTAAATTTATATAAAAACAATACAAAGCAAAGATTACATTTCAAATTCATGTATTTAAGAATTACATACACACATACTTGAGGAATAAAAAGTTCGTAGCACATAACATTTTCTCAAATTGTGAACAAAAGTGAAAAATGAGCTCTATAATAGTGATATAGTATTTGAATTTTCCATATTCATACATCCTATTACTGCTGTATTTAGAATGATTTGGAATATAGCAGCATTTGCTTTAAAACTAAACAGACTAGTAGTCTAAATTGAAGTTAAAAAAAGTAGCTTCAAATACTTAATATGTTAACTCAGTGATTAAAATACAGGAATAAATGAACAATTTCCTTAAGAAAGCAAACTGATGAGTTTCAAAAAAACATGCAATTTTGAAAAACAGTAAGCAAGGAATGTATTATAAGATGCTCTTCTGGGACCTCCTCCAAGGAAGTTAGTTATTACTATCCCAGTTTACCAACTTCACCTATATAAGGCAAGATCAATATACTTAACTTGTAGGCAGCTCTTTACTAGATTCTATCATTTTCCTAGTGGGTATCCCTTTGTTTTTCTGGAGTAAATGAACATTTTAAATATAACTGGCATATAAAACTGGGTAATCTTGTGTATGAAATGTAACTGTAATAAGACAGATAGTAAGCCCTCCTTTTTTAATGCATACAAGAACTGGGGTACAGGCCAGAGATGGGGGTGGGGGGTAAGAGGATTTACCAGAGATAGTGGAGAGCAAAATAGGCAGATCTACTGAACTGAAATACACTGCTGAGGCGAGCAGCTATTTCCTCCAATGTGGGATAGTCTCTCCACCTTTGATAGCCTTGACACCTTTGAAAACTAACCAGTTACTTGATTTAACTACTCCTCATTTTGAATTTGTTTGATGTTCTAACATGATTAAACTCTGGCTATGGACTAAGGGTAAGAATATGGCAGAAGTATTTTCGTGTTTTCCTCGTGAGGCTTACTGAGAGGTACATGAGGTTGCCATGTCTGATGCCTATTATTGTTATTGTTGATCATTTGACTGTGATAAAGTCTGCCTGATTTCTCCACTGTAACACTGAAAACTTTTCCTTTTATAATTAATAAGTACTAGGGAACTCTGACAGTAATTTCAGAAATTTGTAATTATTGTTTTTCATCTACTGGTGATTTTAATTCTACTGGTGATTCTTGCCTTTAACAATTAATGCTGTGATGTCTGCCAAATGGAGATTTTCCAATTCTAACATTTTTAGTAATTAACTAAAATTTAATAATTGGAATTTTACTAAGGAAAATCTCTTCCTTTATTCTACGGGTAAAGTAATTCACTATTATAAATTTCATTGTTCAGGTTGTCCTAGATTTTGCAACTAGACAAGTTTTTCAGGTAGTTTTCTGTTGTATTCCTGACACACTCCCACTGCTTTGAGCATTTTCTTTCTTACTTTCTGGTACTAGAAGTTGTTTCACCTCATCTTGTACTTTATATGCTCCCAAATCTTGGAATTAGCCAGTTCTCCAAAGAACCATGATTACTTTTACTGGAAAATAGTCTCTAAAATAAAAATCTGGGCTTCAGGCATGCTCATTATTATTGGGAGTCCCATTATTGGGAGAGCATTTAGGCTCTCTTAATGGACCACAACCCTAGGAGGTACATAGGGTCTACAAACACATGAACACAATCTGTACCTATAAAAAGCATGGGTTCATATAACCCCAACTACTACAGAACAGCATGGGGTTCATTCTAGCCCTCTCCTTTTTTTTAAAGATTTATTTATTTATACATACAGAACTGGGGTACAGGCCATAGACTCAGGGGCAGTGAGAGACTTCACCAGAGACAGAGTGGGGAACAGAGCAGGCAGATCGACGAAGTACACAGCTGAGGGGAGCAGCGGGCGGGTCAGGAGAGGTCTGCCACGCCATGTGGTCTCCTCTGGGGCAGGCGGGAATGGAACTCATGTGGAAATGGCTTTAGCTTCTCAGTGCAGTGCTTTAACCCGCTGCGCCACCAGGGAGGGCCCTAGCCCTCTCCTTTTTAAATAAAATTCTAACTTCTTTATCCAGATTGACAGAAACCTAGATCTCATTCAACAATATAGTTCTTCAATCTTAGAATACACATAACATCAGAATCTTCATTAGTCTAAGTCAATTGTGTTAATTGAATTCGTTTTGCTAGTATTACATAGGTATGAGCACACAATGAATTACAGAAAATCTACTGGGGGCTGTTTCTGGTAAAGTTTTATAATTTGTAAACAGGGACACAAGATGTATCCGTAACCAGAATGACGGTCATCCTGCCATTTTGCAGTGAGTCAAGACACTTAGGGAAAATCAGAGCACTAAAGACGGCACAACAGAAAAAAAGGAATAACCTGAATCTCTGATGATTTTGAGTCACTGAAAACCGGGCTTAGCATCTCCCTACTAAGGGTTTTCTATATGAAAGAATACGTCTATATGAAAGAAGTGACTAAAAAAAAAAGTTACTTCTGGTTGTTTATATTTTTTCTCCACAATTTAAAAAAAAAAAATTCCAATACTACCCAAAAAAAGGCCTAATTGATTTCTTCTGTAAGTAAAAATGTATCTCTCAATTGTGGAAACTAAACATAGTTCTTTCTACTAATGAAACAGAGAAATGGATTATTCCATGAGTATCTTCAAAGTAGAAACAAATTTACTTTCAATGGTACAAAGATTAAATTTAAGTGTTACTAAGAAAAGTTATGAAAGTTTAAATTTTTTAATAATTTTATATGTCTAAATCTAAGTCACCTTCGAGCATGACTTTCTAGATAGGAAGAAAAATTCTACATTTTCTAGTTCAGATGAAGTATCTATTTATAAGTCTCATGGGTGATTGAGAACTCTAGATTTTGGTTACAGACTTGGTCATTTTAGGAATATGAAATAACAGTGGTCTGCTGGTACTGGTCTATACTGTCAAGCAAATATATTATTTGTCACAGTAATTTTTTCTTATGAATAATATCATTCTACTATGCCATATGCTTCAGATTTTGAATGTGGAAGTTCTGGATAATCATTAAGTAAAATTTGCTCCTTATTTAAAAAAAATCAGTTCTGAGTTGTGCTTAATAGTCAAATCAAGAGAATTTCTGATAATTTCAATTAATCAAAAGGGATCTCAGAATAGCCACATAATTTTCTTCTTTTAAGTTTAGAAATCTCAGAATTATTTTTCTCCATATCTTGTAGTGTCTCAGATTCCAAATGTTAATTGTACTGAGAAAAGAATGTCACTGACCTATTAGATCACTTTAATTACTACAATGAAACATAGTATTAAAACATACTTGTAATTCATATAGATACACTAGAATAAAAATATATATTAAATATTTGTTAAGGCTATTATTAAATCATTCCTTTTACTTTAAATTTTGAAGAACTCACTGTCAACTATCCAAAACCACACAAAGGAAAGTTAATTTCCTTATAAATAACACACTGAGGTCAAATAGGAACTCAGTATCAATTTACCTTGTAAATAAGACATCAATGTTATATACTTACAAAATTCGCTCTTTTTTCAGTTTGGTAACTTTTACTTGTAAACCTGAAAAACACAAAAAAGAATCAATATTTTATTTACAGATTTTACCATTTCTAAAGCAGTCGACCTAAGTTAGCTTCTTTAGGAGTCTAATATTACAGTATTAAGTCACGAGTTTGACCTCTGAATGCGTTGGGTCCTGTTAGTGTGAGGAGTGTGCATTTCACTTATTTGTACCCTAAGGTCACAAAAATCTATCTAATATTATTGCTTTTAGTCTTTTATATGACAGCCAAGTAGAATAAAATTTTCTTCCCCTAAAGTGAGTTACTTCCTTTCTAATAGCAGGGGCAAGCATGTAATTAGAGGTACACTATAAATGAAGGTCTATGTTCTGACACAGCCTATGTATTTGCTAATAGCAATAGTACTTATGTAGGCTCAAGTCTTTTAGGATTTGAACAGATCGTGGCAGGAAGTCCTGGACTAGAAGCAAAATTACTTACAAAAAAGTACTTTACAAAGGGTACTGTAGTGTTTTTTAATGTCTAGCTATCTGTTAGATTGTAACTGTAATTTTAATTGAGTCTGATACATAGCATAAGAAACAACACCTACTTATGAGACTCAGGTAGTTAACGTGAAGAAAACAGGTTTGTGGGCACAGAAACTTCAAGGAAGGAGATGGACAAAACAGACTGACATTTCTGATTTTCAGAAACAGTAACTAACAAAAGGAGAAAAACAGCCATTAAACAAACACAAAAATAAATCTATCACTGACAACAAAATATAAATCCAAGCAAAAACAACTTACAAAAAGGAAGAAACAATGTTAATAAAAGTGTTATAAAAACTATATTCCCCTAGTTTGCTGGAGATGATATAAGCTTTTAAAAATTCTTTTAGAAAGCAATTTAGCAATATATAATAGGACTTTCTCAATCATATCTCACTTTCTGGACTCTAACCTAAGAATATAATCCAAACTGCAGAAAAATATGTCAAAAAGTAGTAAACGATTTATAGCAGTATAAAATGCTTAAAAAAGGCACATGTTTAAAACATGATAACCAACTGAAGGAATAATGTACAGCTACTAAAATCTTTAGTTAAAATACTAAGTCTATTTAGCAACAACAAACTGCTTTGTTTTCTATGTCCTTTATTCTATTTTGGACAATATGATCATAATGGTGGAAAAGGGGATTTCTGTTTAAATTTTTTGTTTGAAATCAATCCTTTTAGTACTGTACAATGTTTCCAATTGTGGATAGTTCATTCTTTTAAAATAATGCCCAGAACTATTCAAGAATTTCTTTATTTGTGGCAGATTTAGTCCCCAATAAATGGGTATTCGTTGACTGATTTCTGGAAAAAAAAAAAACCCAAAGATTTAGAATTTATCTTTTCTAGTTTATCTAATTATACATTTTTAGAAAAGTTTTCCATATAATGATTTAATGCCAAATCTTGAAATTATGAGAAAAATAAAGGCCTTAAGAGTATTTTTTTATATTATACCTTGCCTTATACCACAAATTTCACATCCTTGATATATTTTACTATCATTACTATACCCTATACTTTGAATGAATATAATGTAAAATGTAAAGCAAAAGTGTTAAGAATAAACTTGTAATCAAATGTTCACAGCAACTTCATTCATAATATAGAAACAACCCGATGTCCTTCAACTAGCAAACTATTAAAAAGCAAAAAACCCAAAAGCATGGTGCATGCATCCTTGCATCATAAGCACTACTCAGCAATAAAAAATAATTAACTTCGTACAAGCAACAACTTGGATGGACCTCAAGAGAATTACGCTGAGTTAAAATAAGTCAATCTCAAAGGCTATATCATATATGACTCCACTTACATAACACTCTTGAAATGACAAAATTATAGAGATGAAGAACAGATTATGGGTGGCCAGAAATTGGAGGAGTTGGGGCAGGAGGTGGGTAACTGAGAACTTAAAAGGGTGGCATGAAGGATCCTTGGTGGCAGTGAAATGAATTATATAAATTGCACAGACCTAAATACGAACATGCACATGAGTGTATATTACACACATGTGAATGCATCTAACACCGGTGGAATATGGATGACATTGGTAAATAAACTGGATGCCAAATTCTTGGTTGTAATACTGTACTTGTTGTACAAGATGCTACAACTGGGGAAATTGGATAAAGAGAATACCATCTCCACGTATCACTTCTCTACAAGTACAAGTGGATCTACAGTTAGCTTGAAAGAAAAAATTGAAAGAATTTATGAAAAGATATTTGCCTTACAAGAGTTGAAAAAAGTAAAATCTAAAAAGAGGTAAACTTTAAATGTTAAAAATTAAAACTGGTACAATCTCTTGATTAAAAAAAAAATCTTTCCAGCTATTTTCGACCCTAGTCAAAGAAGTTTACCTTTTTTGGGTAGTAGTTACAAACTCACGAGATATCTAGGGAACTTAAAGTATCAAAACATTTTAAAATAAGCAAGTAAAGAACTTATGACCCCTATTAGGTCGAAGACTTGAGTCAGCAGTTTTTATTTCTCTCTTCTTCCCTTTCTGAAGTATGTGAAAATTTAACTTGTTGACAGATTTTTTTTTGTTTTTAATTTTTGCAGACATATAAAATTGAGGTCTTCCTTTTAAAGTGCAACCAAAGATGAAACAGACTCTTGCCATGAACATTTTAAGAAAAGAAACAATGAGATAGAAAATCCATATAGACTTCAAAAGAAAATACTTAGGAAATATGGAAAGGCTATTCTTTTATCTTGTAAGTATTCAACACCTGTGAGGCCTTTGTTCTGTCACGCAGATCAGCCCTGAAACAGGTTTATGTGTATGTGTGTGTGTTTAAATTTTAGCATTTGCTATTCATCAAGTCAATTAGGCATCTACAATTAGAACCCCTATAAAGTGTACTTTAATCCTTCTCCACACCCATCGGAAGGAATGAGGCTATACAACAATGCAGCTCCTGTATGAACAGGTAGTCTGTTCAAGAAAGTATTTGAGATTGTAACAGTGGCAACCTGAGACACCTACTGAAGAAAAAGCACTCAAAAGACACTATAGTGCAATTAACCCTCCACTCACACATAATTTTGGAGAAAATGAAACAAAGGCTCATTGGTGTAGCTATAACATACAAAAAGTTGAGAATGCAGAAGTAACACAAAGACATGTAATGCTCCTTATATTAGTTCTGTACTAGTAATAATCAAACAATCAACCATATACACTGCCCCTTAAAACAACTTACTCCTGATTTCAAATTATAAATTAAAAGCCTGGCAGCACCTTTCTTGATAAATAGTGCCTTTATATATATAACTTAAATAATTTAACTTTTACCAAAAATACTACTAGCATTTCCATAATCCCCAAATAATTTCAATTCCATAAGTGAAAACTACTGTTTTTATGACATGCAGCTAAATTTAAAGTGTTTAGTTTGCTCTTAAGATTTAACTATCTCAAAATGGGTTAATAATTTTTATGGATTTTATTGAATTTATTGGATGTTGATGCAAATAGTAAAAGAACAGATATGAGTTACTACTCATATTCTTAAAAATGAGGACACAAATGTCATAAAACAAAATTATATGCAATTCCTTTCACTGTTAATTTGTGTACTTTAATAGGAATGTCATATTTTGGGGGAATTTTTGGTTAAATGTCTGGATAAACAAAACAGAAGAACAGAATGAATAAAAAAAATGTATTCAGTGTTAGAGTCTCCATACTTTGCCATTTCTAAGTTTCTGTACCCCCAAATCAGTTTTATTATGAAATTGTCTATACAAGATATAGAACACATTATTAGATGAGATGTTAAACAGTGAAAGCCGTCACAGGCAAAACGCACTTAGTAAAATTAAGGCATTCTAAAAAGAAATATTCTACATTCCATTTTTATTATCTGTGCTTTTAAATACTAAAAAGAGATTTAATAACAAAGTTTAAAAAATTATGTCCAAATGAGTACTTTAGGAAATTTTTCATATTTAAAAAAAGTTTGAAATTTTTATTAAATTCCATTAAAATTTGTTAATTCTGAATCCAAAGATAAAGACTGTATATTATCATAACAATGTGTTTAACCCTAATGCCAGTAGCCATTTGTCACAAGAGGAACATTGACACAGAATGAACAATCATAAAAGCATATAAGTAACATAAAATGAAGATATAAAACTCAAGTCACCAAAGCCTTGAGAATGTTTCAACAAAAACGGTCTGGTTTGTACACTTCTATTTTTGATACAAGTTGAGAAACTTTGTGTATTAGTTTCTAATTTCAAGAGAGATACATCAGTTTGTTATATTCTTGTGTCAGTATACATACTGTTTTGTATATAGCATTTTTCTGCTATCACTTTATTATGTTCTTGGTCAAATTAAAATAAGACAAACTATAGATACACATACAGCAGGGTATTCAGTTTCATGGAAGTTCCTATAGTTAGACTCTCATGCATATCTAAATAAAAATTATATATCTCAAGTATTACCACTTATAACATTTCTGGTTTTTTGTTTGTTTTAATGGACATGAAGTCTTAAAAGTAATGAGTCAATTCTGATTCCTATATACACTTCAAAACCTGCAAAGTCTCGACAAGTCCATGTTTGATGTCTTTCAAATAGCCTCTTATACTGGTTTGTCCAAGTGGATTCTCCACCTTAAAAAAAACCAAGTACCCTTCAGGCATTTCTTTGATGTTATCACATAGTCACTGGATCTAGTTTTATATGAAACTATGTAGAACACACTGGGACTATGTTTTTTTATAAGTCCTTCTTGCAGCAAATCTGCTAGCCTCAACCAAAATGTTTTTAAATAGCATACAAATTTTTTTAAAAACAGTGTTCATGCATTTAATACCTTTAAAAATCCATCAGTTGTTTCTGTTAAATTAACAATAGAATGTTAGGATCATAAATAAATATCCACAAGTTATTTTGATTGGGGAAGTGGCATAGATCAACATAAAATGTACCGGAGGCTAACTTTTCTCTTTAGCTCAAACATATGTGTTCACAAAACACATAGATTTTCACCAATAAATACCAGGAACTGCTATGATCCTCTCCTTAACAGTTTTTCAGCATGTACAAACAAACTCTCCTGGGAGTATGATGGCTATTAGAGCATAATCAGGGGAGTAAACAACTTAAAAGAATTATCTTCTGTGTAGGGTATTTGTTCTGTAATCTGATTTATGACATATTGTTCTTATTAAAGAGTGTATTATTTATCTTCTTGTTGCTTCTGCATCATAAAGTAGTTTTCTGAAGACCCAGAAGCACAAAAGACATGAATAGTAATCTGCTTCATTTGAAGTAGGGTCAACTATATTATCCTTGTTAAATTAAGAATCTAAAAATAGAATCTGCCACTTTAAATGGGCAGGTACAAAAATTCTAAAAGGATAAGCATGTACAACATAAGATAAAAAACAGGAATAATAAAGTTAAAATAATGAAATAGCGAAAATAAGTCGACATAAATCATTACGTTCATTAATCGTAACAGTACAATAAGCCACATGTATTTCTTTTAAAACTAGGAATGAATAAAAACCACAATGCCATTCCTATAGAATGATGATTTATTTTTCCTCTCCCAACTTTTATTGCATTATCTAAAAATAGAAATTTTAAAGTAAATGGGTAATAAATTATTTCAGGATTTTAAGTATACAAAATTTTGATGTTTGCATATGTTAAGGATTTAAAAAACTGAAGTTCAAGAAAGTGTCCCATTGATTCAGCTAAAAAATATGTGATTCATTCAGATACCATTTGCTGACTCTCCTTTTTAGCCATGTGCCATTTAAGTTACTTACAGGAACGCAAAGATGAGTAAGACAAGAACTCTCCACAATAAATGCTTACTGATTCTTAAAACTAGTTATGAAACAACAGAAAATAATCATTTGAGGGATAAAGAAATTAACCTTATGTCTAAAGATAATAAAAGTGGTTACCTATTTGTGTGTGTGTAGGGGAATAGGGCTAACTTTTCACTGTTCATATTTTGACATTTTTACAAAAAAGCTTAAGTTATCATAAAATTAATGGGTGAAATAATAGTAACACCACTGGTACCTACATTTCTAAATAAACTCTACTGTACCCTTATTGCATTAGCAATCCTCTTCACTGAAGAGGGTTTTGGTAGAAATAAGGATCCAAATGACCAAAAAATGGGCATAATAGGGCAATAAAGATGCAGGTGAAGGAGCAGAGGTGAATACCAACCTTTCATAATAAAAAACTTAAAGGTAGTTTCCAATGTTTAGCTCTGCTAGAAGCTAAAACACTACTCAAAAAATTGAACATTTCGGGTAAGTTGCAACACACTAAACCAACACACAAAAATTAGTTGTATTTTTATACACTAACAATGAATATCTTAAAAAGGATATAAAAAACCAATTTAACTTACAGTAGCATCAAAGTGAATAAAATAATAAGCTAAAATGAAAATAGTACAATGAAAACTACAAAATGTTCATGAAAGAAATTAAAGAAGACATAAATAAATGAGACATCCCATGTTCATGGACTGCAGAAAATCAGTAAAATGTCAAAACTACTCAAGTCTATCTACAGATTTAACATAAGCTCCATCAAAATACCAATCATTTTTTCTAAAATCCATGTACTCTCAAAAGCCGAAATAATATTGAAAAAGAAAACAAAATTAGAGGTGACATAAATTTGATTTCAGAACACTGTTCACCTAGCATAGTGACAGACATACAGACCAATGGAACAGAACAGAGCACAAACATAAACACTAATATATATGATCATATAAATGTTTTTGACAAGCTTGGCAATCTCATCAGTGGGGGGGGGGGGAAGTATTTTCAATGAAAAACAGATATAGGGTCCCCCTACTATCCAAACATAGTACATTTCTATAGGAACATTATTAGTATCGACTGATACAGAAAAAATTTGATTGTTCCCAGACTCAAAAATAACCTACCAACTTACATCAAATAGAAACATTCTATTTTTGGATAAGAGAAAGTTACACTGTGTGTACAAAGGAATGTAGTTAGACCCTGACCTAACACTATGTACAAAAGCTTAAAGATAACAGATTTTGCAATGACTTCTTGGATAGGACACCAAAAGCATAGGTAACAAAAGAAAAAAAATAGGTAAATTGGACGACATCAAAGTTCAAAACTCACTTGCTTCAAAGGACACAATTAACAGAGTGAAAAAGAAACAACAGAATGAGAGAAAATATATGCAAAATATAGACCTGGTAAGAGGCTACCAACTAGGTTATACAAAGAACTCCCACACTCAACAGTAAAGAAACCAACTTGAAAAAAATTAGGCCAAGGACTTGAATAGACATTGTCCCCCAAAATACAAAAATGGACAACATACATGGAAAATTAGGGACATACAAATCAAAACCATATTAAGAGAGACGTCCCTGGTGGCACAGAGAGGTTAAGTCTCAGTGCTACCATTACTTAAGTTCCATCCCCAGCTGACCCACATATGTCGCAGCCAACCTCTCCTGTCTCGCTAGCTGCTCCTCAGCAGTATATTTCAGTGCATCTGCCGGTTTTCTACTCTGTCTCTGGTGAATCCTCTCACCACCTTGCACCTCCTGCCTATACCCCAATTCTACACAAAACAAAACAAAACAAAACAAAAACCCATCGCGAGATACCAGCACACATCTATTAGGATGGCTACTATAAAAGTTATTTACTAACTATAGATGAGAATATAGAGAAACTGGAGCCTTTGTTGGTAGGAAAATAAAGATGCAACCCCAATGAAAAATAGTATATCAGCTCCAAAAACATTACAAATAATTGACATGGTTCCATAATTCCATTTCTGGGTATATATCCAAAAGAACTGAAAGCAGTGTCTAAACGAGATACTTAGAATCCCATGTTCATACAGCAACACTACTCTCATAATAGCCCAAAGGAAGCAACCCAAAAGAATAGGTAAATCAAATAAGGCATATACAGACAATGGAGTATTTATTCAGCTTTAAGGAAATTCTGCAATCTGGTACAACATGGATGAACCTTGTAGGTGTTATGCTAAGTGAAATGAGTCAATAATAAAAAAGACATATACTGTTTGATTCCACTTACATGAGATAGCTGGAGCAGTGAAAATCATAGAAAGTGCAGAGTGGTTGCCAGGGGCTGGAGGAAGGGACAAGTGGGAATTATCGTTCAATGGTATGTTTTAGTTTTCCAAGATGAAAAGTTATGGAAATGGATGGTAGTATGCTGGAGACCCCTGAAGTGCTGAGACAAGGGAAATATCAGGGTCATGATTGGAAGACTGGTTGTGGCTAAAAGACTGGTCAGCATGGGTAGGAAGACTGGTCCATGTACAGATCAGGATGTTCTTTCATGTGTTAGGGAAACTATGTCTGGGACACAAACTAGATTAGAAAAGAGAACAGAATAGCCTGGTAAAGCAGAACCTTGGCATGAATGTGTGGCAGAGTAATGCTGAATACTTAGAAATAAAAGAATATACCACTGTCTCATAACTAACCTAGGGGGCAGGCTGTCCCAATGAAGATGAGGTGCTCAGGGCATTCAGGACCCTTGCGCTGGACTGCGAGACCTTGCATCCCGAGTCCCGCTTCTCTTAAACTCGATTTTATGTCTGTTATTTGCTTGTTTCCGATGGTTCTTTCAGATCCCTCTCCTCAACCCTGTTCACAGGAGCTGGGCCCCAACAGTAACACAACATTATAAATGTATTTAATACCACTGAATTGCATACTTAAAAATGGTTGGAATAAATTTCATTTTGTATATTTCCTGACAATCCCCTCATAAACTAAGTATCCTGCTCTTTTCCCCTTGCCAAGAAGAGATGGAAAGTACCAAAATGTCCTAGGATTTCTTAACCACTTAAATTTTCTCATTTATTATTTTGTTCATTCTCTTTGTTTCCTCCTAAAAGTCAGCAATTAAGAAAACCCTACATGGTAGATAATAAAAACTTACCAGTATATGAAATTCAAACGGTGACTGATTTTTGTGAATCTAAATATAGCACAGAGTATCAGTGTTTTAGTGAAAACTAATGGGGAAAATGAATATCCTGAAGTATTTCTTCAGGAAATACAGAAGTACTTTTTTCTTATTTACAAAACACTAAGTTACTAATTCAAAATTCCTAATAATCAGTGTTAGATTAGGCCTATATGTTAAAACTGTATTAAAAAAGTGTCCTCTGGCTACACAGAAAATTCTTATTGCTATTATAAGGAACTGAGTGTGAAAACTCATTAAGAAAACTGCAGAGCATCTCCTGAGGCAGGTATGATTTTTATACAAAGTTTATATATCAGTTTCATGTAAAGGATGCCTGGTATGAAATGCAGATGCAGTACACTATGAAGGTAAACACTATAAGTTAACATACATGAAAATAGATTCTGAAAGTATAGATTCTAATGTTGGCTTGCTCACTTCACAGCTGGGTCATCGGAAGTCAGCCATCTCCTCTACAAATTGCCATTTTTCCCAGATATGTAACAGGAATGATACTTTCTCTGCCCTGGTATTGGGGATATACAAATCAGCTGGATAATAATAAGAAAAAGCCCTAAATAATTTACAGTAAAGATCCTCATTTTGAGTTAAAAAAGTCATGCAAATAACTTATTCAAGTTCTTTAATTTTTTTAAAAATGTTGCTTGTGACAAAGTAAATCCATTTATTGTGTGAATTGCCTGAATAAAAGTCTTTCTAAAGTATTACATCCCATAATTTCCGTCATTATTTATAAATTATGATTTAAGTATGTGGATACTTACATGCCTTTTTTATGTTTTCTATTGCTATCTGTTAGTCCAAAAACTGTTTTATCATATCTCATGACTATGTGGGTTACAAATTTTGACAGAACTTGATTCAGAAATTCTCGGTCTCCACTGGATCAACTCACATCATTTATTTGTGTTCTGCCTGTGGCAGCTCTGATCTGGAGAGCCTCATGTGGCTTCACTTACTCCCTAGGACCTTGGTGAGAACACCTGGAGGGCTGAGCTCAGCAGGACCACTCTCCCTTTCAACGCAGACCCCACATACCCACTACCCACGGCCTCTCCACGTGGTCTCTGCAGCATGGACTTCTTACAGGAAGTTGGACTTCTTAAATGGCAGATTGGAGCTCAAAAATACCAATGGAACGGCCAGTCCTCTTAAGGCTAGTTCCAGATATGATGTGGCATCACTTCCAACACACTCTCTTGATCAAAGCTGTCACAGACCAACCCAGATTCCAGGAGAGAGAAAAAGAGATCCCAGCTCTTGACAGAAGACTCATCAGAGAATGTGTGACCATCTTTAACTGCCACAATGCATTTTTAAAGATAACTAAAATATGTCTATCACTAAAATCTTGAGTGCATTTTTTCAGATATATCAAGAAAACTGCAGTTTTAAATATTTCCATTAAGTGAAACCATTAAGTCAATTATGAATCATTTTAACACAAACAGCAGCCCAGTGATGTACCCTGACTTAGACTAACATTTATCAACAGATTATGAATTCATCCGATATAGTCAGACATATGACCAAGCAATGGAATCAGATTATCAACCTCAAAAAAAAAAAATTGTTCAAGTCACCAATAGTCAATCTCCTTGAGCAACATAGCTAAATCCATGTAAGAACATTTTCAAATAAATTCAATTATCCTAAGTGTTGGTATATTTATAATATGTACAAGGTAGTCTATTCTTATCTTTTAAGTCTTTTCTTAAAAAACCAAAAAGGGGACAGTAAAATGACCAGAATGTGAAAAATCTGTTAAAACTTTTTTGCAGTATCCCATTATCTACAGCTGAGACAGTTCACTGCAGGCACTGATAATACATAATGGTTACTGCTTCAAAATGACAGTAATAACTACTATACATACTGCTAGCTATGCCACCACTCTTTCAACTACTTTATATACATTAAACTAATAAAATTACATAACTAATATTTATTTTATAAAGAATCAGAGGCATTATAAAGTTACATAACTTGCACAAGATCACACCTTCTATTCAAGTGATAGAAGTATCTTTCAAACTTTGGTAGTCTAATTCAGAATTCATGGATTTAACCACTATAATACAAGGTTTCTTTCTCAACACCACTACTCCCAACCACTCCCAATCATTGAAAGTAGGCACCAAAGATGAAAAGTTTTATACTTAATCCTACAGACAAAACATAGTATCATCGTTGAATGTTACAGTACTTTACATAATCTGGACATATCTACTTTCCTGGTACCTTTACATTTCCACCTCCCCAGTAAACTCCCATCACCTAACGCATTCCATTTTAGAGTTATATCAAGCGCTTTATATTTCTTAGAATAAAATGTGCTCCACACTTCAATTATAAAGCATTATCTGACAGCAAGCATCTTCCCTCCCCCACACACTCATTCCCTCATATCTAGTTCCTTATGTATCCAAGTAACACAGTATAGCATAAATTCTCTTCAAACCAGGACTGTATAATTCATTCTTATTCATAATGCTTGGCACATAGTAAGTGTCCAAAAAATATTTCTTGAACAAATGTTTCCAAGTACATTAGGGTTCAAGAATACTCAGGTTCATATTTACAACACAATATGAATGATCAGTCCATTTTCATAAAGTTTTCCAGAAACTAAACTTATTATAGGAAGTTCCAATACAACACAAATACTACACTTGAGATTCAGGTGGATCTTGTTTTAATGGCACACTAGTATAATAGCTACAAAGCACTGTAGTAGTAACCCTATGATTGTACAAGGTAAACAATGTTAAAAAAAAAAAAAGAAAAAAAAAGACAGGCCTCTCTGGTGGCACAGGGGCTAAAGACACAGAACTATCAAGTGATCGCCAGCTACTGCAAAATGAGCTTGATCCCAGGCCCAAGAGCTAACCCACATGGTGCAGCAGACCTCTCCTATCTCATCTTCTGCCGCCCTCAGCAGTGTATTTCAGTAGATCTGCCTGTTCTGTTCTCCACCCTGTCTCTGATGAGTCCTCTCACTCCCTCACTTCTGTCTTACACCCCAGTTCTTGTATGCATAAGTAGACCTTTAGGGAAAAAACACAAACAAAACAGGAAGGATTTCCTATCTTCATATGGGAAAAATGTATTATGTTAAAATCACATAATTAAATAAATATATTAAAAGTCAATATCAAACCTTGAGCTTAATTTTAACAGATGATTCCTTATATGTAGTACATCTTGACATCATTGTAAATATGTATACTCTCATCCAAGCTATAACTGCTCAATTTTCTATAAACTGTATTTCACTCATTCTATAAACTCATTCTATAAACTGTATTTCACTCATTGTATTTAAGCTCCTGTTTTGTTATACTTTATACTATAATTATCTGCATATTTGATTCTATCGCTAGTAGACGGCAAACTCTTTGAGGGCAGACTGCCATTCACTTTTGTCTCTCAGTTCTTGGGTATAAAGAGATCCCTGAACACTGCAGAGCGATTTATGTAGTGTTTATCTGTCTATAAATAATCATGTGAATAATTTTCAGTATAAAATTAAAATTGGACGTTATGTAATTTGGCTGAGATCAAATAAATAATGAAATGGACTTCAAATTCAAGTCTTTTGTCAACATCTCTATGTCCCTTCTACCACATCACACATATTACCATGTGCAGTTAACTATTAATACAAGTTGTACAAGAACTACATCCTTCAGATGTCATTTATTGTGAAAAAACGACCATAAAAGTGAATGAAAGATTATAGTAAACATTAAAATGAGAACTCTGAACTGTCATACAAAGTTATTTATTACTGTTACAATTCTAACAGAATACTACTGGTTTAAGATTTTACCTTGGGCCCTCCCTGGTGGCGCAGCGGGTTAAAGCACAGCACTGAGAATC